GTTTGCAGAGCAAACTATGAAGTTTCATCTTTCACTTCAACTCTTTCTGTAAAACCACATTCATATGAAAACAGTCAGCAATGTTTTCATACTGTATCTATTAACATGAAGAAAGTCTCTTTACATACGTGACTTTATGCAATCAGTTTTTATTCCCATCAAACTTAATGTGTTGGGTATTATACTTCAGCTTGATAGTGAACATAGAACTAAGTGCAATTAATTGAATGGCCTGAATAAAACAGACCCTTTGATATTTTAGCAAAATAGTAATAAAAGAAAAAAAAATCCTGATTATCAATTAAATGAAGTGGCAGCTGAACTGGTTTAAATGTAATTGGCGAGACATTCAAGAGAAAACATGAGCTGTTATCTTTCTTTCAGTTTAAAAAAAAGTACTACTGTTGACCTGAAAGCTCAGATGATTCAATCTGTTAACCTTGGACCATTTCCACAACACTAATGTATCTGAACGTTTCTCTCTGCATTTCTGCTCTGGTGCTAAATGAGACATTCTGAAGGCAACGGGCTGGTGGGTTCAGTGTATGGAGATGTCATTTCACATCCAACTCTCAGACCAGACTTGCCCTCACTCAGTCACTATCACTGCATTGAAGCTGTTCAGACTACACCAAGCAGCAATTTAGCCTGAAGAGAAGTCTTGGTCTGGGCAAAAGACTCTCCGTCTGTCTTCTTTCCTGAAGATATCCACTAACTTTTCTGCAGATTTAGGTCCAGATGCAGATCACGTCAACACCTGCCTGTTGGCAGCATTTCACTTGATCTATTTCAGTAATACCTGAAATAAATAATACCTCTTATTCTCTACAACATAAGAAGTAAAAAATAGAGAAAAGAAATTACATTTAAGTAAGAGTTCACAGCCTTTGCCGAACACTTTGCTAAACCTCTGGCAGAAATTATAACCTCCACATTTTTTGAATACTTTATGCTGCTACCTATCATTGCCTGATCTCCCTTGAAGAAGAAATTGTTCATTTGAGCGTTGAAATTATTAACATCAGCACTTACTTACTGGTCAAATGATTATTGAATAAATAAATAAAATTGTCACAGCTTAGCACACCCATCTTTATGCAGTTCGACTCCAGCTCCATCATGCTGGGATGACAGACATCCTTCAGTCAATTTCACATCTTTCCAGATGTGTTGAGTCAGACTCACATGGACTTGGCTTGGCCACTCCATGACATTCACAGGCAGTTCTGAAGCCACCCCTTTAAGATCTTGGGTTGTTGTCCTGCTGACAAATGAGCCATTGCCTCAGACTGAAGACATCCTGCAGCAGGATTTATTCAGGATGTATCTGGACATTGCTGCATTCATATTTTCCTCTGTCCTAATTAGTTCCTGCTGCAAAAAATGTCTGTAGAATGATGTTGCCCCCATTCTCCAGATGACGAGCCCTGCCCTGGTTTCTTCTACACATGACATCTGACATTCACACCAAAGAGGTCATTATTTGTTTCATCAGAGCAGAGCATTGGGTTTCTCATGAACTGAGAGACATTATATATAAAGGTGTGCGTCTTTCCAAATCAGGTCCAATCAACAGAATTTATCACAGGTGGACTCAATTCAATCGCTAAAAAAATCTCAAGTACAATCAGTGGAAACAGCTTAATTTTGAGTTATGTTGGCAAAAGCAGGGAAATTTTTATGTAAATGTTATTTCTTGGAAGATTCTTTAGTTAAACTAAAAAAAACAGCTTGTTAGTTTAGGAATGTGAAAAGAGTTATTACTTAAGAATACACAGTCCCTGCCAATAAGCAATGTTCCCGAATAACCACATTTCATTTTCATCACATTCATGTTAAGGGATTCCGTCCAAAAAATATTACATTTTGCTGATTGCAACAACATGCTTACAGGCTTATATAAGTTTTCATTTATTATTCATTTAAAATCCAACAATGACAAATATAAAGAACGAGAGGAAGTAAAGCGTGGCTGTTGCAGGAAATTGATCCAGTGTTATACTGCCCCCTAATGTTGATGGTGAGCTGTAAAAATGTCTTTAAAACACATTCATCACACTTAGTTTCTCAGAACATCCACCTCAGTGTCACTGAACTGACTGTTGTAAGTGCACTAAGGGTGATTCATTGTCTTCTCCGATTGTTCTGATGCTTCTCTCTGTAAAGGAGCTCAGTCATTCAGTTTTCTTTTGTTGTTTTGTCACAAAGACAACTTGCAGAACTTGTCTCTTTCTGCTGTCAAGGCAGAATGGAAGGCCAAAACATATATGTGACAATTAATATGCATTGATTCATTAATCTCAGACATTTGAAATATAAAAACTAAAGAATATGGCATGGAGCATATGTTGAACATTTTTTCATTCTATTGTCAAACAGAAAATTATATGACATATGCTTCTTTCTCCTATTTTTTTTATGATCAGAGATTTTTACTAACTGAAATTATCTCCTCAGTAAAGCTAATCAAATGTTTTGCTTTAGAGATGAAAGATTGGTCCCAGGACTGCGTCTGAAAGAGCTGCAGTGAAAGAAGTTGATGTTTTATAAATATCATCCTAAAACTGGCAGGATTTCATATGCCCCCTGTGCAGCATAACAGTACATTGCAGCATTAAGCTACCTTGATCCAAGTCCTCCCTCACCCCTTATTAGTGCTGCCTGAGTGCCTCGGGTCTACTCAAGCAGAAAATAAGCCCCCCATCTGAGTTATTATCCCTGTTTTTGAAGCTTCTAGTTCATCTCTCAGGTTCACTGTGGTTTATTATCTTGTTCAGACTTTACTGCTAGACACAGAGAAGTAGCATCTCCACTAGGATCAGCAAAACAAAGAGTCACTTGTTACCTTATTTTTGCTTCATTAACCCAAAGCACCTGCATGAAGCCTTTGCAGCAGTTTACCTCATTGAAAAGGAATCTTCATCCTGTTGAAACCAGCCACATTAAAAAGACATTTAGTGTGTGTACTACTTCAAACGATGCACTTTGTTAACCATTGCTGATTGCTAGTTAATAGCTATTCACTAACAAAATATTGACAAAGTGAATAATTAGAGCTTAGTAAATATAATAAAAGGCCTTATGCAGCATTTTTTAAATACCCTTCACCGACATGTCTGACAGAAAAAAGAGCCCAACACTGAGTAAAACGTAAGGGAGGCCCCAGAAAGGTAAACTAAAACAAAGCCATGTAGTAGAAAGGACAGCTTGTGGAGATGCATTCCTTGACTACATCACATATGGATTCTAATTTTCTTCAAATATGATTAAACGATTAACCTGAGTAAATACCAAAACCCTCTTTTAAGAGGAAAAAGCTATCCACATCAACCTTCATTTTTAGAAGTGTTTAACAGATTGCATTGTTATTTTCATGTTTTCGTGATGTAACAGGTTGCTCTGTGAGTCTCAAAAGAGACTCATTGTCTCAAGAGATTTTTCCTGTATAAATAAAGGATTCCATATCCTAAAAAGTAATCCTCCTTGTTAATTTTTAATTGACAATGGGTTAACCATGCTCTCTGCAAAGCTCAGGTCAAAGAGGTGCTATTGCTAGACCTGTAGAAAGAGGAAATCATTCAAACCAGTTTAAACATAATGTAGATGAAAAGTTTTCAGAAGTGCATGCACAATTTTCTTATCTACAGACATTCAAGAAGAGAGGGCACATCTACTCAAAGTCATTGTTCAGTGTTCATGTATGAACAATAAGAGACTGAAGATATGTCATCCATAAAAAAGTTAAAAAGCCAAAAATTCCTGCTGGCCAAGGAAGACTCAGAGGCACAGCTCACATTTGCCAAAAATAACATCTTAACACCCGAGACTTTTGCATAAACATTCCGCAAAATGATGAGAGAAAAGGGGAGTTTTAACAATTATGGTTTTTGTATTTACTCAAGTTTTTCTTGATATTAAATTAAGTAAATAATCAAAAGTATTTAGGCGCTACAAAAACATAAAAACAGAAGATATCTGTTAGTGGGTAATTCTTTCTGAGAGCAGTGCCCAAATAGCAAATATTTGTTTGGCTCATCTAAGAATATTTAAAAAGTGACTAAGATAGAGTTTGAAAAAAAAAAAAATTGGTCATCAGTGAGATAAAGTTTCTATAAACTACATCTCTACACAAACCTTTACAGGAAATCGGCAGTGGAAAGGGAAACGTGTCGCATGTGCATTGAACATGTGGTGTTTGTCTTTGAAAGCTGACATAATCAGTGACAGATTACACAAAGAGGTAGGTGATTGCTCTAAATTTAGATTTCATTGTTTTTGGGTGTGGTTCATACCAGGAGTGAAAAAGCATTGATTTTCAGAAACCATTTGCTTTTACGTAGGTAAAAATCCAAAATCCTTTACAAAAATAAATCATGCAAATAAAATTCTAATTAAATACAAAAATGAAATGAATTATACAGACAATTTTAAAGAATACATGTTTAAAAGATCTTAAGGAAGACCTTGTTTGAGAAACAATATCTTTAGATGCTTTTTTTAACAAGTCAAAACTCTCATGGCAATATAATACAGAGGTAAAAATAAACAAATGAAAAAATGTACAACAATGTTGCAACAGTGTTCTGCATTTAACTCAGAATATTGAAAGTACTCTAAATTGTTTGCGTTGCTATAATTGTTAACGTGACTAATATCATTAAAAACAGCAGCTCTCTAGGAACGATATGTAAAAAGAGAGGTGGAATTCATAATTAAACGTAGGAAGGATTCATTCATGTCAACAAATCACAAAACAGTAAAATCAAACATCAAAGATGGCCAGCATGTGCTAAAAATAGTTTATTCACCCTCATCTCTATCGTTCTACTTTGCCCAAAGCCCACCTCAAACCTCTTTATTACTTTAATCTGTGCAAGTCAGATCGTCTGTGATCGGCAGGAAAGACATTAAGATGTTACTCATTTGCAGTGACCCGGTTCCCATTTACTGTGATGTCTGTCTGGGAGTCCACTCACGCTGCAGTTCTTGCAAGAGAAGAATTTTGAATTTTCATCTCCTTCTTAACTAACCTCTCTCACTTCTTGCTTAAACTCAAAATAAAAAGGCCTGATGAAGAGCAAAAAGGAAATAGAGGAGATGCCAGGAGTCACAGTGAATCGCTATGCCGAAGGTAAGGGCTATGCAATGATGTTAAATGCAAAATATTTGCTTTTTTATATAAAAAGCCTGACATGGTGACCATTCTACAGTATTTCTGAACTCATTCTCAGTTACACAATTAAGTATTGTCTCTCCAACTAATATTTTCATGTGTAGAAATAGATTAGTTAATGGTTGTGAATGTAGCAGCGAGAGCTGAGAGAGGAAAGTGTGTTAATGATAAGTATAAGTCCCACAAATATACTTGGAGGTTCTTTAAACAGTTTGACCCAGTATTCCAATGATGCATTAATTTGAATCTTTAAGACTTAAAGTTACAGAACCGTGGAATATCAGATAGGTTAAGCGTGATGTTTATTGATCCATAGCACAGCTTTAAAATCTCAGTTCATGATGTACATGAGCTGCAGTGTGAGGACAGAATCAACAGAGGGTTGATTCTGTCCTCTCATCTGGAAAGTCAGCAAGCACAGTTTGTCCACACGTGTGTTCACATTTAATGTTTGACTGCAATAAGGATCACTGTAAGATCTGACATTCAATCGGTTAAACATTTATAGTTTTGTCAGAAATTACTTCAGTTGCTCTTATACGTCATTCACTGCTTAATTTCTGTCTGCTGTTACAGACTGTTTATAGATTTAACCTGAAATACGTAGGAAGTATTTTTATTCATTTTCCTTTGTATTTATTCTATTTTACACCTATAGCATTAGCCTTTCAGGGGTTTTGTAAGAGTGTTTGATCCAGTTTATGCCTTGAGGTTCTTGTGGAGTTTAACTTTATTAATGTTTCACAGAAACTGACTGACTTCATACAGTTCATATGAGCACACAGGTGAAAAACACACATACATAACCCACACATAATGACTAAACATTTCCTGTATCAGGTCAGACGGTATTACCAAGATGTTCTTCTTTATGTCTTAAAAATAAGAGTGATGTAATTCTTAATATTTTTTTCATTACTTTAATGAAATTCAGAAGAATAAACACACTGAACTTACATCACTGTACTATTATAAAAGTCCAGCCGTGGCTTTTTACATCTCTGATTAAGTCAAGTCATGTTTATATTTATAGAATATTTAAGCAACAAGGCAACTGGGCTCACAGTCAGTTGAGCCCAGGACTAAAAGGCCACTAAGTGATGAAGAAGCCATAAACATAACAGATTATGGTTTGCAAATGCACTCAGGGGCAAAGACCTTACATTTTAAAGATGTGTCCTGTGGACTGCTGAAAATTAAAATTATAACTAAAATTGTTTGGCCATTATTAGCATTGGTACAATTGAAGGGCGAAGGAAGGAGCCTGACAACAACTAACTGTGAAGTATGGTGGTGGCAGCATATTGCTGCAGGACAGTGTTTTACATAACATCAGATGAAAAGATTTTGGACAACACAAGTGTAAGATCTCAGTTAGGAATTTAAGTTTGGACTCAAATGGGTCTTCCAATTGGACAATGATCATAGTGTACTGCCAAATTGTTTACAAATTGGCTTTAGAACAACAAAGTACCATTATAAAGCCCTGATCTCAGTCCCATATATGTTCAAAGTTTTAAGTATGTGTTGTCAAATTGGCTACAAATTGGACTTACTGAATCCAGTTGTGGAGGAACAGATCAAAGTTCTAACAAATTGCTGCAAAAACCTTAAGATACTCACTCAATTTACCCCAATTACTGTATTTTCCGGACTATAAGTCGCACCGGAATATAAGTCGTACCAGCCATAAAATGCATAATAAAGAAGAAAAATACATATATAAGTTGCACTGGAGTATAAGACATTTTTGAGGGAAATAACAGGCTGAATAATTGTACGGTATGCTAATGTTACATGACAAACAACGACCTAAGAATGAGCCTGGTAAGTTAACATAACATATTAAGAGTTATTCAGATAACTATAGCATAAATAACATGCTAACAAGTTTACCAAACCAACCGTGTCACTCCAAATCACTAAGTCTTCATCTTCGTGTTGCTTTTAAAAAACTCTGATAACTCCGAAAATAGAATAACACAGGCCTAGAGCGCCCTCTTGTGGTTTAGTGTGAAAATAACACGTGATATGATATAACGATGTGTTAATTTCCACACATAAATCGCTCCGGAGCATAAGTCGCAGCCCCGGACAAACTATGAAAAAAACTGCGGCTTATAGTCCAGAAAACATGGTAATATGGCTTAAAGCATAATTGAATAGAAATGTAAATACTCATGTATGTAAAGTTGTTTATAAAAGAAACATTCAGTAATTGTTACTCTATAAGCATGTTGTTTCTATGGATTGAAATAAACATTTTTGCTCTCTTCAAAGATTTCCATATGGATTAGTTTATAATTAATCTCTCTCAAGACCATAATCAAGGTCACCCAAAACTGAAAGTTTGCACAATAAAAGGTTTAGGGATTAAAAATGAGATAACATGTTTTCTACAGACATTGCTGTTTGCATGACATGATAGGAAGATGATTCTTTGCTACTTCAGAAGAGACTCTGCTGCCATCTTGTGGCATAAAGATGACAGCAGGCTCACGTCCACTTTTATTTATTAAATTGTTAAGTTTGTTTGTTTAGTCATGAATCTGACAAGAACATTGTTTAGTTCATCGTTCTGATCTCCTGCACCTGCCACCACCATGTGATAAACTAAGCAGGATTCTTTGGATTTGTTTGCATCCACCACCACAATAAATCTCAAGCTCCCCTGCATGAAATAAAAACTTTTCTGATTGCATAAGGTATTTTCCACAACGACCTTTGGTGCTATTTACAATCAACCTGTAAAGTTTTTATAAGGATCGTAATTTGTAGCGCAGCAATGGCAGTGAGATCAAGTTTGTCTGGTGATCAAGAATGTTAGGGTTGGTTTTGTATTCTTGTTTAATGTGATTTTTTTTTCAGCTGAAAAAACTATCAATTTGTGCAAGGCTGACAGCTATTATATGTTTATAAGATAATTAGACTTTGCCAAAACAACACTGAGCTCAGTTTTCTTTTTACACCTCGTTATTCCCTCAGATTAATCTGAAAATTTACTTAAATCAATACTTTTTATGAAATTCTTTGAGTTAGTTTCATTGATTAAGTAATATTGCTTTTCCTTTTCAATTTTACATTTCTTTCACAGTTTTTGTGTTTTTTTAGATCTCATTTTTATTTAATTTATTCATTTTATCAAGAGTGTTTTCAGAGAATATATATGCATACTTATTTAATGCATCCTTTTTAAACCACAATGGCACTATATTGAATGCCCAACTTAGATTGCATCGTATTTCCAACTTTATAATGCTGTAGCAGTTGTTATCAGCTGATGGCGCTAGTGTACGGACTGCAGCATGGAGCCAACACCGAAATCAGAATAAATAACATTTGTCATCATTAGAATCTCATATATTGATATTCATTTAATAAAGGCCTTCAGAGAACAACTGCGTTTGCACTGACTACACAAATGGACTCGGGGTTATCTCTGCATTTCAGGATATCAGAAAGAAAAGGAATTCATGAGAATGCATTTCCCACTTTTCCTGTTTTATTAAAAAAAAAAAACATAAAAAAAAACATGCATAGTTTTCATTTTCAAAATTCTACATTTTGTCACATTCCATCCTCAAGAAATGCACTGCAATTTCTGGTTGCAATCTAACAAAACGTGAGTTCAAGGGCGTACTAGGCAGTGTACGACGAAGATAAGGCTATGGTTTCATATTATTAGTTAGTTTGAGATCAGAACATTTATGAGAAACAATTTCCACAGTTTTCAGAGTTGACAAACTAGTAATATTTACTGCTTTTAATAAGCCAGTGTGTCAAAAGGCTTGAGTGAGAAACTTTTTGCTTTTTAGTAACATTTTTCTGCAGCAACCCCTGAACCCCTTTTTTGAACACATACCCAAACAAGAGATAAGTCTGATCTGCTGATCTCATGTTAACAGAAAATCTCAGAGTTATGGAGTTATATAGTCTGTTAAACACTTATTTGTGTATTTCCATAAGCTTGAAAGTCCTTTTTGCTATTATGGACAATGTTTATTTGATGTAGCTTTTTGTGTCTTTGCACACTGCTATCAGAAAACTGTGATTGACCAAATTAAGTTGGGGTGTTGCTGTTGTTGCTCTTGACTGTTTTAGTTAAAGAAACTGTCCTTCTAAGCATAATATTAGCAGATTAATTATGTGTTTATAGAGAAAATGTATTTTTTAAACTGATTAATGCCACTGCTGATTGTTCTTTATCTAAGGTTTGAACTGTTGTGGCGGTATGAGATGTTGCTACGAAAAAAAAAAGACGACATAATATAGATGCATACCAAGATTGATTTCCTTTTGAATCAAGCAAACATTGGTCAAACCATGCTTGATTACTTATCATTTTTCAGGCAACGCTTAACAGCTTGACGAACCTATTGATGTTTATTGAATTTACTGGCAGTTTTGAATGCGAGTTAAATGTTCAGGTACACGGACATTCTGTCAGCAGCAGCGAGCCATCCCTCCAAAAATGTGCTGATCATGCTGAGGAATACGTGAGGAATTTTTTGAGTCAGTAAAAACATTTTGCCACAAATATAGTAAATTATGATACTGGTGCACCACGGGACGAGCACTCATCTAATGTTATAAACCTCATTGTAAGGTCCTAAAAGGAGGCTCCTATTGTGGCATCTGAAACTTAAGTTAAATGTTACAGAAACAAGAAATAAAAGAAAATACCTGTCTGTCTTTAGAAATATGTTATTGAAATGCTCTAGTTCTTAAACTCAAGAGTATAAAACAGAGAGGAAAAAAAAAAAAATGTTTCACATTCTCAATCTTTTTTCTCTGCCCTCCCCTCCCATGCTCTCCTGGAGGAGGTGCAGGGAGGTGACTTCACCTCAGTGTCCAAACCCATGATGTGTGTGTGGGAAAAATATTAAGAAAGAAAAACTAGTGGATGAAGGGAAGAGGGATAATGGGTTGACTCATGGAAAGCATCTTTATTGAAAGCCTGAAGAACATGAATTCCAAAAAAGTCCTCCATTTTGTTCCGTCTGGTGAGTTCACAGGGGTTTTAACGGGGCGAGAAGATCTTTTCATAATGCAACTTGAGCCAGCAGTGTCAAGTGTATGAGAAAGCCTGTTTACAGAACCCAGCTTTTTGTCTGAGTGAGATGTTAGTGTTTATTAAACAAAACTTTATGCACGGTATAAATTGTGGAAGAAATTCTAATTATTTTTATTTACTGTTTTTTTTTTTTTTTTTTTTTGACTTGTTCAGTCCTTATTTAGAAACCCCTTTGTTACAGAGGACAAAAAATATGTCTCATTGCCAGGAGGACATATGAGTCAATATTTACATCATAGCAATAAATGACACTTTCATCAAGTGTTTTAAAAAAAACAGGCAGAACCTAAATTTTCTTCTGTACAAATGCACTATAACTACAGAACAACAGCAACTTTTAAATGCTTGATTATTATACTTTATATTCATTCTTAATAAAGCAGCACTTGAGCAAAATCTTTGTTCAGATTGTCTCACCTTTAAATGCCAGGCTGTAAATTCTTTTGTCTCTCAGCTGGAACAGGATGATACGTTTCTTTGTTGTTTGTCTCCAAGAACTCTTAGTTGGAATGTGTCTGTGTTAGTTTGACCAAAGTACAAAATAGTACAAAGTACAAAATATATGTGTCCATCTTTCTGCTCCTCCATTAAAAAGTTAAGGTAGTACCCTGCTTAGTTTTTTTTTTCACTGGTCAAGGATTATCAAGATTAACTGGCAGAAAATGTTCTAATCTAGTGAATTCCAACTCTCATTTAGACAATTTCAAGACTAACATTGATGTAGTATAATAGTTCAGCTTGGAAAAAAAAATAGATTATTTACATTAAGCCTTTATCAGTCCCTTGCTTTTTACTTGATTTTATGATCAGACATAAAGGCTATTTATAAGTCACCCCTGTAATTACTGAGAAATGGCTCCTTAAATCCCATCTGTTGTACAGGGATTAGTGCCACATGTCAAATTAACCCCTTTGATGTCTAGTTTGGGTGAAAAGGCATTCAGATATGCTCTCTAGCTGTTATACTGCATCTGATGTGTCACTGATTAAAGTTGGTCCAGCAGTCAATTTCATGGATTCAGATAAACACACATTAGTCTGTCCTTATCTGCATCCTCTGAGGTGTTTGAGTGGAATGAGCTGCAGTTCCTGCTTCCTGGTATTTGTTTTATAACAATAAAGCATGTGAATGTGTACATTGTGAAATTTTGAACATTTCATGGTACATTAGAGGAACCTGAAATTTGAGTCATGTCTTTAGTAAAGTAGTTATTTTTATGTTATGGTTGGTTTTAGTATATTTAGGTTAATTTTAAGTAGTAATTTTTATGGTTTGTTAAGTTAACCCAACAGTTCTTGATGTTGTATCTGTCTCTCTTTTTCCCAGAGAATGAACAAGCATTCTTTTCTTTGTTTTTGCTCAAGGACATTCACTTTGCAGCCTCAGATAACACAGAGTCTGTGAATAATAAAACAATCCTTATTAAGTTGGACTTTTTGTTGAAGAAAATACCCTCAATACAGACACCCAGTCATGTTCAATAGCTTAGCAGGGTTACAGAATCTCAGATTCGAAGTTCAACAAACAGAAATTAATAAAAGACTAGTGAATCCTTTTATTTTGGTTGTCTAGGTATGTGTTTAATATTTATTGAGTCTTCTGTTGCCCAAACTTCGTCTTTTATCAAGTCTGGTCAGGTATCCTAATTTTTATTCAATCTTGTTGATAAACAGACAACAGAAAAGCACAGAAAACGTGCCTCCATTTCCACACTTAACACGGTGCACAACATATATCAAGATTATGACCAAGTGGGAAAATTTTTTTTATTGTTAAGGGAATTATGAAGTTTCCATATTCTAACCAGAGGTGGTAATTATAGCTCAATACATACCCCAGTCTGTATTGAGTCAAAGTTCTGAAACAAGTAAAGGTATTTTTTATTTTTATTCAATAGAAAGCAAAACTATAAGACATTTCTGACAATATTTTTATTCAAGGACACTGTTTTAATAGTTCTCAAAAGTAGCCTTTACTGAATTGAGCAGTTTTTATAGTATATAGTATTATAAAACAAGAAAATCACTTGAAATTGATTGGTGCTGCTGGTTTGGAGCTTTTCAATAAAATTGTGCCAACATTTAGTAATTAAAAAATGCTCAAAATACTTTGGACTTGTTTTGATGTACAAACAATCCAGCTTATCAGTTGTAATCAAATGTACGAAAAAGCAATTAGTAAAAATACATTACTTTTTGATGAATACCTATACATAAATTTGACAGAAAGGTCATTAGATATAAAATCTAATAATAATAATAATAATAATAATAATAATAATAATAATAGTTATTATTAGCTATAAAAAGAGACTAGAATTATAAACAGGGAAATAAGAATTTAAACCTTCTGGTACCATGAGAGGAAAGTGCTGTGAAACCTTTAATAAACAAGGTCAAAGAAGCAGAGCAGACTGTTTTGGTTTCCTCTGTGGAAAAAGTCACAGCTTAGCCTCACTGTTCTGTCCCAAGACTGCACCATGTTTGAGGTAGTGGGCCAGGTTGCCAGCAGACTCACTGGTAGAAGCTGGCAGGACAGCAGGTAAACAAAAACAATCTAATTTTCTTCCTGCACTCTCTTCTGACCAAACAACAGCAGGTAGAGGAGATAAAACTGTCATTTCCTACTTCTAATTGTCCTGCATATTTTTTTAAAGCCTAAGTGACACTTTTGTTAGCACAACACTTTAAAAATCATTATATTTCAATACCAATCTCTGCTGCATCTATCGTTGAGAGTATTAACGTTAAAGCTGACCATAGACTTTTAAAAATCTTGAAAATCCTCTGCACAGCTAAGTTAGGATCAAACTGCTTGTTGCGAAAAGGCCGTGGGTCCCCTGTTGTCTCCAGACTCCTGTGATGTGGAGGAGGCATGGGAATGTGAGGTCTAATCAGTTTTGAGATATGGCCTTGCTCCAGAGCCCCTGCAGCCAAATTCTGCCAAAGGCAAAAAAATAAAGAAAAATAAAGTCCCTTCAGCACAGCTGCAGCAGCACCTTGAAGATACATGATCGCCTATACAAACACTGCACACAGCTGGCATCAGGTTTTTGTTCTAACCAAATGTGAAAGAATTTTGCTGTTTTCTTAGCCTCCCAAATATTTTTCTGACCCACAACCACCATTCGCTTTTTAAGAAAATTCAAAGGTCAAGTTGTCACAGTGGGATCTAAATTATTCAGGAAGCTCAAATGGTAATGGGTAATTAGTAAACCTATTAATGAGAATTTTTACTCATGTGTGCAAGTTAGAGAAGGGTTAATAATTTTCAGGGGTACATGAACATGTTAGTTTATCATTTTTAAGAGAGCACCCTTATTGTAGGTGTTGTTAGGATTTCAACAGAGAGAAGACCACCCACCCCTATTGCAATCAGATAAATTAAACAAACTTACTTGAAAATATTGTAATTACACTGTATTTATGTTGCATTTATTCACTGTTGATAACCAATCAAAATAACATAAGGAAGATAGAAAATGATGCCTGGAAGTCACTGGTCAGTTGCCAGCTTAAATCCCACTATGTTTTCATGCTTTGCATAATAAACCATGAAAATACAACTAACAGCTAAAAAACCTAAATACCTTTAAAGAAAAGTAGTGTTAACATGTATTGAAAAACTTTAGATTAACAACAACTTTATCTGCTGGCAGAAATGTTTCCAGTTGTAGCACATAAAGATGGGAAAAAATAAAGTTTCTCTGAAAAAGCACTCCTACATTTTGAGACAGGTCCTCATACTGCTCAAAGTTTTGGATGATTAACTTTTTTCATCATTCTCCTCTGCGTAGAGTTCATATGATTCTAACCTTTCCATATTTGAAGTGAGGGATGGTGACTTTCCAGACAATACAAACAACAATAAAAATCTTTAATAAAAGAGACTGCCAGCTTGAAACTGAGCCTGAAGCTTCGTAAACATGTTTATTTTGTCACTTCCGCAGAGGCTCCATCCACTGGGAGGTCTAAGAATGGATATGTTTTCCAGGAGATGGGTATGTAGCTGCATCCACACATAATGTTTACTGATACTGCTTTTCTCATCCTGGTTCTCACCTCTTATGAACTTTATGTGCTCTACATTTCATCAAATATTATTTAAGGTATTTTCCTGTGGGATGATACATGCATCAATGTATTTAATTGGTTCTTTATGCTAATATCAAAGTTTCTCTTTGCTCACTGATTTCACATCCTGCTGTGAACAGCCGGTCCATTGTCTGTGTGGTGGAAGGTTAATTAATAGGTGAAAAACGAGGCAGGTGATCTCTGAGTTAATGATGAGTTGAAGGAATAATCATTACACAAAGCCGTGCTTGTGAAGGGTTAATTTTCTAATTCTGAGGCAGTTTCTCTTCCTCCCATAAAACTCGCAATCAAAAACCCATATTTATCTTCTATACATAAAGGAATTTACGAGAGGCTGCTGTTGTTATATTGCAGCATGTCTGGTTTGAGGGGGATTTTTTTATTGGGTCTCTCGCTCTCTCTCCCTCTTGCTGTTTTCTTGTCAACAGATGGCAAAGTGGAGGAAGGGCAGAATAAATTGTCCCTTACTGGAGATGCTGCTAATGTGGTTAGCATCCCATTGATTCAAAAAGCAGTTTTATCTCAGTGTGATCATAACGCAGCAGCTTCGGAGGCTCTCTAATGACATTTGCGGCTACTTTTATGCAATTATGTCCGTTGTAAAACAAATTATTTGTGCCAAAGCTGAAACTACAGAGTGAGATGTGTTTCAAAGACTGAGACTTGTTTGTTTTTTGTGTTTGCCCTTTAATGTTTTAATCCACAGAGCTGAAGGATGGAGAGAAGGAAGTTTCAGATCAGGACTCACCTACCATCAGTACAGACAACATTTATGAAAATGACATCCACCTCAGTGTTTCAGGTTTGTAAATGGGAGTTTCTTCTGGAAAGTGAACACTTGTGGATTTAGCAACTCAGGTCAACTAAGAAACAACAGAGAAATATTGCTTTAAATGAGGCATTAAAATAAACTGGAAATTTTAGAAAAAGTTTGGATATGATGACAAAATCTAAGCATTTTATTTGCTTCTCTTTATACAGATTCTGAAGGTCCGGGATATGGACTTTTAAACACAACAAGAAAAGTAAGATTTTATTTCTCAGTTTTTTTTTTTTTTTGAAAAAAACAAAAAAACTGCAAAACATTAAATGTTTTAAATCTAACTTCAAGATTCAAAAAACACAGCAAATTGCCTCTCATGTACAACATTGACTCAATGTAAACAGTTTCTGAACTGATACATGAATAAGGAATCTGGAATTTAAAGAAGGGCATAGTTTATTTTTATTACTCAGAACAAGCTGGAAAGACCAAGATCTCATTTTTTTTAAAGTTGTGTAAGATAAACAATGACAATAAAGAGCCATTGACATAATACTTTTGTTGTCTCAGAATGATAATCAAAAAGGGCCAAATGATCAAAAGTACTAAAATAGAGTCCAAAAAATATATCAGCATTCAGCAGCATAAATGGGTGACTGTGTAAAACCCAGGTGGAAAATAAATTGGGGTTTCTGAGAGAGGTAGCTGTAGTAACTGCCTGAAAAAAATCAGTTATTTTAACAAAGTCAGAGTGAAGTAAAGTGATTAGCAAAACTAGTTTTCAGCTTTCAATATTTCTGTGACATTTCTTGGAAGTACTGTAAATTATATCTCTTCAAGCACTCAGTTAAATTGAAATGTCTTGAGATCCGTTTCTCGTATAAGGCCCATAAGATGACCAATTTCCTTTTGCAGTTCTTAATCACATATATTCTGTTCTCCTTCCTATCAGTATGTAAAACCCATGAACTTCCAAGAGGAAGTGCGTGCCCACAGAGATCTGGACAGCTTTCTTTCTCAGGCAAGCATCCTTCTGGATGAAAAAGCTGCCACTCTGGATGAGGTTCTGAGACGAATGATTGCTCACATGGTGGAAGACGGCCAGGGCAACTGTGACGTAGAAGAGGTGATGAACTCGCTGTTCACAGATGCAGGAGGCAGAGATATTAATGGTGAGTGAAGAAAGGAAGTTTTCACAATTACTTTCTTGCAAAATAAAGATTAAAACCGTCTCATCTTTTCATTTGCTCTGCTTCTCCAGTTCACCTTCTGTTAGAGACTATTCAGGGTGTGACTGCTACTTCAACCGGTATTCATTATCAGCAGTCTTGGCTTTGTATTCTGTGAGTTTAGCTGTGACAATTATCCTTTCTTACCATGTTTGTGATCACAGAATATTTACATTCTACCATGGTGATGTCAGATCATTCAAAGTTTTAAATGCTACAGCATTCCTTTTTTTTTTTTTGTAAAGCTCCAATGTGAGAAACCTACAGAGGCGCCATGTTTGTATTACCCGACTGGAGAGGCCACAAAATTGGGGAGTCAACTGCTGCGAGGCCCGTTATGTTATCCTGATCCTCGCACCACTAAGAACGGTAAAGCAAAAACTGTAAACCAAATACTTTGAGCATCCTTGGGAACTTTGTATGAACAAACCTGAGCAAAAACATTTGAATAATTCCATTATTTTAATGATGAATTTGAATAGTTCTTTTATCAAATGATTATTTGAGTAGATTTTATCCCACAAGTCTTTGGTTAGTTTTATATTTATCAAAGATTCCACCTTCTGGGATATTATGATGTTGCTTGTGATTTTGAGAAGGCTACTGTAAACCTTATTTTTTTCACTGATCGAGAAATAAAGTCCTGTTTTCTAATCAATACATTGATCCAAATGTCTGCTTGGTCCAAAAGACCAATTGTCTTTTGGAGAAAAGTTTTATGGTCAAATGAGTAAAAGCTGGAGCAGCTGTCAGTCTATTAACTTGACTTACATACATTGTAAGTTGTACAAAATGACAACAAATGTTACCTGTCAAGCATGGTGGTGGTAGCAGCATGTTGTGACTAGAGGTACTCATAAATTGAACACAGTGGATAAAATAATGAAGAAGCAGGTCTGTGTCCAAATTAAAGGTAGATGGTGATCACTTGGACATAGTTGAATGTTCCAACAAATTCCAGTAATGATGTAATACAAACATAAGAATTGGTTTTAAGTAATGAAGCAGGTTAACTTTGGGGTTTTAGAGTGGCTCTGACCTCAACCCTATCAAAAATTGTTTCAATGAACAATTCTGCTGAGAATCATACTCAAACAGCAACCCAGAAAACTCCCCAGAAATGTGTTTATGACTACAAAAAGTTTTCTGTTAACATGGACGTTGCTCGGGGAAGCTGTATATCAGTGGAACTGTATGTTTTTTTTGGAGTTGGTATGTATAATTTTGACCATGTGTGGATTAGAGAAAGACAACAAACTCAGATTTGAGCAGCCATTTTTTTTGGTTTTTGAAAAATCATTGCGCTTAAGGATGATGTCTAGCAAAAAATGTGAGATTGAAAAAGTCCTATTATGTAAATAGGACACTTTCCGTCTGTTAAATTCCTTTTTATGAACAATGTTTTGCAGAAAAGCACCAAGACAGCTGTTGAACTGGGTAGGACATTTGCCACGATGTTCTCTGACATTGACTTCAGGCAAAGGCTTCTGGAGACCAAAACTCAGGAGGAGTTCAAACAGGAGCTGGTCTCCCAGCGACACCAGCTCTCTGTCGCCAGTGAGAAGAAAGTCGTAGAGGAAGTGGAGGACTCAGACCCACGAAGAGGAAAAGCACTCCAGGTGTGTAATAAAAGTGTAGACTCATAATACAGGCAGTTCTGTGTGTAATCAGTCTAGAATTTATTGCTATAAGAGACCATATATAGCTACAAAAGGGTGATAAATGAATGCCAAAACGCATTAACCAAAGGAACAAGAAGATGTCTGCTGGAACATCCTTATCCTTATACTACACTCTGTACTGACTTCTCAAACTCTCCAGATGTGGAGACCACCCTTGTGTTTTCTGGCTCTATCCAGGCATATAAAGATGTGGTGAAGTAAACTAGATGAGCCAAATTATCTGAGTATCCTGTTTGTACACTCTATTAGCTAGACTGGTAGAATGAGAAGCAGCTGGGCAACAGTACAAAAAAAAAAAAAAAGAAAAAACTGGCAACTCCTTCACTATGCTGAAGGCAAAATGTCTGCAGCTCAGTGCAACGATAAACTACTTCATTATATGGAGTTTTCAAATTTGGAGGAAATGTTTGTGTTAAGCAGGGGAAGAAGAAGGAACACCCAAAGGCTGAAAGGAGAGAACATACTGGTCTGGGTTGTAAAAAGGCTGCAGCTCCCAACAGGTTGTTGATCTGACTGGGCTGAAAACAACACTTTGCATTGTAGCTGTCAGGCTGCCTCTTACACTGTGATTTAATTCCAGGATTGTAAACTACAAACCAAACAAAATAATCTGGTACATTTGTTTTTATGCTCATTTTATACTTGCACATCATTTAAACACCTTATTTAGCATGCATATAGAAAAATTGTATTTCCAAATATGAAGCATACACTCAAATTGTCATCACTCTTGGTGATTAACCAGGACATTTCCCAATCTAATGTCTACATTTCATTATAGGTATTTTAAAAATTACCCACATTTTGATTGATTTAGCATTCTTTTTCAAAAAAATTGTAGATTCACAATATGTTTTCTTGATAATTGAATCGTAAACTCGCTCAACGTTTTTTTAAAAATAAAGTTGCAAACATCCTTCAAAGTCTTGGTCACACAAGAAATGATTTGCTTGATTAGGAATACTCTGAAGTCAGTATTAAAAAAAAGGTCTTAGATAGATGTGGAAATTTTCAGTCAAAAGCATTTGTAAAACACTGAAAAGAAAAAACTGTATTTGATTACAATCGTAACCATACCAGAAACTTTGTAGAAACAAGCATATATCTGACCTGTTACAAAAGGTCTTCAATCTGTTTCAAGATCTCACTGTTAAAGTTTAGCTGAACAAATCATGGAAAGTCTCCAGGAAAGAGAAATAGCTAAACAGAGAGGCTCTGGGCCAGTTATGCTTTCCATGGGAAAGAAATGTGAAAAGTAGACAAAGATAATGGCAGCAATAGATCTCTCTTTAGCTTAACTGCAGGAAAGAAACATAGCTACACACAGAAACACTGGGCCAGAGGTACTTTGTATAGTACAGACAAACAAAAGCCTTTAAATTGCTGTTATATTCTGCTTTGTGTCTCACAGTGCAGAGATTTCTTCAGAGCCGGTCGAGGTGTTTATGATGACCTTCGTCGGCGACTGCCTCTTTATCCTTCAGACTTCACAGACGGTGTGACAATATTGTAAATTTCTTTTTTTTGATAAGTTTCTGTTTGAGGTTTTTACATCTTTGTTTGACCAATTAACAGGGATGACAGGGAAGGATCGCTGTTTACTGAAATATACCACCACAGCTATCTTCCTCTACATTGCCATTCTCCTGCCTGCAATTGCTTTTGGTTCTCTGAATGATGAAAGCACAAGAGGGGAAATAGGTATTGACATTATCTTTATTATTATCTGATACATCACTATTTTTATGTATCACATGCAAAATTATGGTTGTTTTTTGCATGGACAGATGTTCAGAAGACCATTGTTGGCCAAAGCATTGGAGGAGTGATCTACTCTCTGTTTGCTGGTTCCCCTCTGGTCATTCCTCTGACCACTGCCCCACTGGCCATTTTCATCAGTGGTGTGTGTTGTTCTGTAATTCTTTTTAAAAAAGAAAATAAAAACAGAAGTGGACTTCATTTTACCAGATAATTTTTTGATTAAATCAACAGAAAAACAAAACATTTTACAGTTTACACACAAAGATTCATAGAAAGGCTGAAAAACTGCTATGATATTAAGACAGATAATTACACATTTTTCCAAGTAGTTTTACAGGAAAAACTTTTCTGATTTTGAAAAAAAAACATATTTACGAGTTCTGTCTTGTATACATAATTCATAGTTATCAGGGGTATCTGTGATGACTACGGCCTGGACTTTGATGCTTTCTATGCCTGCATCGGTTTATGGAACAGCTTCTTCCTTATCCTCGGGGGCTTATTCAATGTCAGCTTGATGATGAAACTCTTCAAACGGTGAATACACAACATGACTCCTTTTCTCCTTACAGACTTTGATTTGTAACACATTAAAAGAACCATTGACCCCTGGGGCCACTTACTGAAGTGAAATCAATAATAAGAAAAAGTTTTGTTTGTTATAATGTTCTGGCTTCGCCATCATTAATCAGTGTTTTTTGTTGGTATACCTTCTGTTTAGGTTGCCTTGAATAGGTTGTTATGTCTGTGTTTTTGAAAATAAAAACATAAAACATGACTTGTTATTCTTTTTTCTTGTCTTTATCTCATAGCTCAACAGAAGAGGTCATTGCATTGTTCATCTCCATAGCTTTTGTTGGAGATGCAGTGAAAGGCACCGTCAAAAGTAAGTCTAGAAAAGCTCTGGATACATTGGCCATTTTGTGAATCTGTCCTTTATAGATAATGTTGACTAGAAAACATGGTTAATCACATATCTTCTCAGGTATTGAAAAATACTGATTACTCAAATTACTCAAATAAAATGTAAAAATATTGTCAAGTTACAAGAAACGCTCCTTAAGACAAAAATTTCCAACAATAATAAGCAAATTTGTATGTCAGTTTCCCAAATATTCTTACTAACCTCTCACATCCTTTTCCACAGTTTTTGAACACTTTTATTATGGGCCAACATTGGCAACCACAAACAAAACGGTGGTGCTTCAGCAGATAAATGAGATTCTGGATGGGTTTGAGAACCGAACATCCACCAAGCTGGAGCATAAAATTGGGACCAACATGTCACTGTTTGAACATTCAGAAGAGAAAATATTAGTCTTCCTGCCAGAGACGCTGGTGGAATGCACAAGAGAAAGGCCCATTCTCTGTCTGCTGCTCATGTTGGGGACTTTGTGGCTGGGTTACGCACTCTACCTCATCAAGAGGAGGTATGGTTCCATTTCTCAATTTGAAGGCTTGTTCCTCCACCTGGTTTATACTTTGCTTGAAACAAACTTAATTTGAATAAAGTTTTAAGTATTGTATTTCACTATTGACACTAGCATAATAGAATTTGAATACTAAGTAAGCCAGGTTTACATTGATTCTTTGAACATACCAATAATTTCTAGATTGCAACACCTTATACAACTTAGACAAGTTATTTTGATACATTATTTTAAAAAGACAAAATCTTCCTTCTATTCTATTTTAACTTCTATGTTAGGCCAGTTAGGATTAACTTTTTCTTTTTTTAAATATTTAATAAGTGTTAGAATGGGGGGAAGTATTTTTTAAGCACTTTCTTTAAATTCAAAAGTTTACACACAATTTCTTAGTATTTGTTCAGATTGGATTTTGAACTAAATTTTCTGGGTATCCTTTCACAAACATCTCCCAAAATGGATGTTTTGCTCAGAACTGGTATAACTGAGTCAGGTTTGTTGGTTACTTTCATCTTTCTGCCTCTCCCCTGAAAATTTGTGATTTTGGAGCTTTGTTACTAAAATATTGACTTTGGAGTCTTTAAACCTCAGAAATGATTTAGTGGAACGCTTAGGATCCCTGTCCATCTTAAACACCATTTTTTTGGCCTTTTGGCTAAGATGATGCATCAACATTGGTACATAATGTTTCATCTTAATGCTGTATATTGTAATGTGCTTCCTGCTGCTTAACACCCACACGTCACATTGCTACCTCCATAAATGCTATATTTGGATTGTTCTTCCAAATTTGAACATTTTCAGCATGGTCAGCCAATTCAGTTTTAGTTTCATCAGATGTCTCCAAAATTAAGGTTTTGATTTTGGAGTTATGTGTTCTTCCTTTGATGAATGGCATTTCAGCTCATATCAGCGTATTAGTGGATAAAAACACTCTCTCACCAGGTTCGGCCAGCATTTTGAAAAGTTTTTTTGCTTTACCTGTCTCCTCCCTGAGTGGTATTTTTTCTGAACATCAGAATTGTAAATTAAATCATAAAAGACTCCAGGGTGAACCTCTACAACCGGCTGTGAAAGGCATTTTAAACAATGGCTGCAAGACCAAACTGCATTCTCTAGAGCAGTGTTTCTCTGCTATCCTTTATCTTTCGTATGCAACTCTTCTCCAGTATGCCTAATTCAAAAACCATTTCCTGCTGCATGCCATCAAGTGCTGAAGAAACCTGCTAATCGTACTTATTTCAGTAATGTGAATATGAAAAAACCCTAAAACATGCAGGATAGTGGGCCCTGAAGTAACTGGTTTGAGAAATAGTGCTCTAGATTTATTGCTCTTGAATAAATATTAACGAGAGAAGGTATAAATGTTAAAAAAAGGTGCACCGCCCTTTAAATGCCTTCTAAGTAAAGGCAATGTTTCCTTCGTATTGCATCAGTTTAGGCTGGCATGAGAAAAGGAGGGGGCATTACATCAGCTCTCGCTTTCAGTTCAAAGTATCTCAGCAATCTTTTTGCTCACATCAGATTGGTAAATAGACTTTTTAAAAATAATTTTAGCTTCCTTTTAAATAACGATCTAAAGCAACTTGAAGAATCATTATAGAGATAAATAAATTCAGCATTCACTAAAACATTAGGGCTGCACGTTTCCATGGGGAGTTTGAAGAGCATCTGTTTATGCTCTTACTCTGGCACCATTAAGTTATTAAACACATTTACACATTTGTTCTGTCAGCAGGAAGTCTTAGTGACAAATTACTTTGCAGTTTTACTAAAATTGACTTTTGTAACAAACATGATACTAGAGGCAGCAAAAGAATCTCATTTTACTAAAAGAAAAAACAAAAAGTCACTTTCCATACCGCAGGCAGGAAGCAACAAGCTATTTATGGATTTTAAATGATTTTCTGTAAAATAAAACTTGAAAAAGATTCACATTACAAACAGACATGTAATGTTCATAACTTTTTGTGCCAGCCTGACTTGACTTGTTTTGTTATTGTTTTCATCTTAAAAGAGTGAGCACAGCAGCAACCAGTGTGAATACCATCCAGTCTTGTATAACACACTGCATAAAAGTTATAGAAAGTTGCACTATGTGATGCTTTATTCCCCATGCAGCCCGTACCTGAACGGTAAAATCAGAGACGTGGTGTCTGACTGTGCCTTGCCAATCTCTGTGGTGATATTCTCCTTCATTGGCTCCTATCTTTTCATTGACATACAGCGTGAGTACAGAGCCGTCGAATCAAAGCATTGATAGAAGATTACCCTTGAGGTTTATACACACAACCTTGGCACATAACACCTTTTGTGATTCAACGCTTCTGTGGCTTTTGATGTATTCAAAAGACAAGAATATTAATGTTCCCTAAACAACACCTGCATGCAGGAAAGGATCCTGATTTTAATTTCACTTTTTTGTTTGTGCTGTGCATGTGTTTATAATATATTTTCTCTCTTATAAGTTCCTGTATTCAGTGTCCATGATGGTCCAATCTTCAAGTACCCAGCATTTGAAAACCTGTCAGGTCTGACTTCACTTGCCGCGATCGGACTTGGTTTCCTGCTTGCACTGCTTATCTTTATCGACCAGAACATCGTCATCTCACTTACACATGTACCAGAACACAAGTAAGGCTCCAGTTTGATGTTTGAATACAGCAGCAAGACAAGAAAGTATGACAGCAATTATGTCCTATCCTTTTTCTCTGTAATAGCTTCTGAATTAGAACAGATGCACTCCTCCTTCTACACTTACAAACAAGTTGGAGCGTTATGTGTGTGTATGCACATTTTCACCAGGTTGTTAAAAGGCACAGCATTCCACTGGGACTTAATGCTGACTGGCTTCATCAACATCCTCATGTCTTGTCTGGGGTTGCCATGGATGCACGCTGCCTTTCCTCATTCCTCCCTACACGCCCGTCAGCTTGCCAAAGTAGAACAGCACGTAGAGAACGGACATGTCTACACAACGTGAGTAAAGTTAAAACAGGGCCCCCCGAAAAATCTAAATGGTACTAATGTTTTTCTCACTATCCAAGGAAGACAGAAGACAATTTCTGCATGTTACTGAAACAGAAATTAGAAGTATTTGCAATTTTATAAAAAAATGAAGCAAAGTTTGGTCATAAGTGGTTTAAGGTTTTGCTCTTGGAGAAAGCTGAAGCTCTATCTCAGTCTTATGTTTTTGTGGGGTCCAGCCCTCGAGGATTGTAGTTGCCAAACTGCTGCCAAACAATACAGCAGCATACCAACCTAACCTATATTACTGCAAATGAAGTTAAGCAATACAAAATCCTTTCAACCCTGAAAGTTAAAATTTTCTACTATGTAGGACACGTCAGCCAACCAATATAGTTCACTTAATTTCTTCACTGCTAAAAATAAACCACATTCTTATCAAGGTGAGCATCAGTACTTTGATAAAGCTGGTTCTTTTAGCTTTGTTCTGTCCTTTTAGGATCGTTGTCAAGGAGACGCGTCTAACCTCACTAGTAGCGAACATCCTGATCGGCCTGTCTGCATTCATGCTCCCTATTCCTCTTCAGTGGATCCCCAAACCCGTCCTCTACGGCCTCTTCCTTTACATTGCAGCCACCTCACTCGATGGAAATCAGATGGTAGATCGCATGACCTTGTTGCTGAAGGAGCAGGTGAGCAGAAAGACCACGAAATGTTTGGTTCACCCATCTAGTGATAACTAACTAAGATACATCTTTCTACAACTTAGTTATTGATTGCTGTGTGCTCAATTACAATAATGACAAATACTGGGATTCAAAAATAGTGCATACAAAAGAAATGACAAAACAAAAACATGTCGATTTAGATTTTTAAGTATCAAAGACCTTAGACAAAAATGGAGGACTATATTTTCTGGCTATAATAACAACAATAATGTCTGAAATAGAGGAAACATTGCCGTAATACAACGGTGCTGTGTGTGCTAGATTATCTTGCTACAACAAAGACTTGTCTCTTTCTCTATCCATTTCGAATTTGTGAAATAACAAATATTATAAGATGGGGTCAGCAGCAGTTTTCATATGGTTGAATGTGGCTCATTGTCCAGGCCAGCACAACCTTGATGAGGATTTTATTTTATTTTTTTAACAAATCAGCCATTTGTGCTCCAAAGTTATTGTACCCATCTTATTTGCATGTATCCAGTGCTCTGCATAGCATAGTCATTGTAATAAAAGTTAATTAAACTGCAAATGGCTGAAGTTGGTATGCGGTTTACACTTCTGGATCAGGCACAGAAGAAAAGAGCTACTAAAGTCTTATTTCTGATACAGAACCGTCATGTTACTAAATTCACAAAACAATGCCTTTGCTTTCAAAGATGACAACATTTGTAATCTTTTACAGATGACATTCAGAAAAGCTCCTAACTACACAACATTTACACAACACCCAACTAGCCTACTATGCTACGCAGCTGCACATGAAATTATTCATTACAAAACTTTGGGTACAAATGAGAGAAAAAAATATATTTTTCAAAACTTCATCTGATTGCCAGTGTGCATCATTTGTAATTCCACCCTGGGCTATTGCTATTACATTGAACTCAATCTAATTTAATACAGAATATTAACTGTATGATCCACTTCCCATCTGTCTAGACATCTTACCCTCCGACCCACTACATACGCCGTGTACCTCAGAGAAAAGTGCACTACTTCACAGCAGTGCAGATGATCCAGCTGATCATCTTGTGTGCATTTGGGATGTATCCTCTGCCCTACATGAAGATGGTGTTTCCTCTGCTGATGATCCTCCTGGTCCCTATTAGGTGAGACATTCACAGCCAGCAGGGGGCAGAATGGCTTCAAAAAGCCTTTGACCAATTTTACTCAGAATTATTTTGACTGTGGAGTAAGTTTATATAATATAACATTACTAAATATATAGTATATATAATAATTTTATGTACACACACAAGTTTATATACTTTATTTTTTTACCTCAGACCTAATCTCTACACCTCCCAACTTATAAAAGAAATGACTCAGAAAAATAAAATGTGACATTTTTGTGGTTTCAACAAGTTGCCTTCATGATCACTTGTTTCAAATAAGAAAATAATCACTTTAATGTGTTGTGTTTTTTGATCTCAGGATCAGCTTGCTTCCTCGAATGATTGAAGCCAAGTATCTGGACATCATGGATTCCCAGTACATTTAGGCCAGCTGGTCAAACTTGTGAAAAGATGGAAGACAGATGGGAACAGACTGACAAGTTAATTAAGGTTTTAGTCACCAACGTACCTACAAGATTTTGCCTAAAGTACGTACTAGTGACAAACTTCTTTTCCATAAACTTCACTGCAACTATAACTGGCTTCAATCTGAAGCATTTCTGCAGTTCATTGGCACTCTCATAGGTAGAAAAAACACACATATACACACAGATAAACATAGGTGTTTATCACTTTTTAAATGAATAAAAGTCTTAATTGTTTTATTCAGATATTATATTTTTAAATGAGGGTTGCTTCTGTTTTAATTCACATGCTGATGAGGTGACTTCACTACAAGCAATTTGACATAAAACATCTTAACACTTAAAAATGATCACCTCTTGTAAGCAGATGTTCATTTAGTTATGAAGCTTTTATTCTGATGAGTCACATAATGTACTATATGCTGTGACAAATTGTTTTTTATTTAAATTTTGTAGGGTTGAATGAAAAGGCTGTGAACCAAACTGGTTTAACACACTTTACCACAATACATTTATATTTTTCAAAGAGAAATATGCAGAGACTATTTTTTGCAATTCAAGTCTGAAAATACAAAATCATCCCACTGCAGGACTCTTGTAGTTTGGTGGAGGACTGCTGTGAGTATTTTGATTTAAAAAGGACACCGATAGATGGCAGTGGAGGATCACGCTTCATATATTAAAATTCCACCTTGTGTAGGGGTGTTTGCGTGCGTGTGTGTGTATTATTCATTGTGATACAGAGACAAGGATATATTCATGGCAGCCTTCATCTTGTAAAAGAAACGGTGATAATGAAGTTATGACCACCCAGTTATTAAGTATGAGTGGTTTCCAAATGTCACCAGGCTTATATGATCAGACATCTAATTTGTTTCATGTGTTTGTTTTTCTGCACAGCCACTTTTCTAATCCAACACCTGCATTATTTGTCTGTTTTCATCAAAACCTTCATTAATACTTCAACGTTGTCAAAGCAGCTGCTGTTTTCTATTTTAACTGTCTGTACTCAGTGAGTTCCATATATATATATATATATATATATATATATATATATATATATATATATATATATATATATATATATATATATATATGTAGAAATGTGTGTTTGATGTGAACTTCAATAAAATTCAAAGCATTCACATTCACAAGCTGTCCACCGTAAACGCCATGAGACAATAAGTGGCTTTTAAAACAATCAGAGAGAGCAGAAAGTGAGTGTTTTCTTTCAGAAGATTTATTTGCTTAAAGAAAAATACCCGGTGTTGCACAAATTTTATGTATCTATAAAATTCTAACATTCAAAGACTCAAGAAAATATTACTGTTTGAAAATGAATTAGTTGCTCATCTGAAAAACTGAATTAAAAAATTGAGAAAGGAGATCCACTATATCAAAACACAACATGTTTCAAGAAGCTGGAATGTTGTATTGAAGTAAAAAATACATTCCATGCAACTATTTGGTTTATTCTCATCAGGGAAGCAAGTCAGAGTGTAAACAGGTTAGTTTTGTACACACAAAGTCAAAGTCACATAATGATACTTTTTTTTTTAAATCATACACGCCTTTGGGAGAATCAGACTTTGCTTCCGATGGGCAATGAGAAAGCAATTATTTAATGCTACAAAAACACAAAAGGACTTAATCAGTTTTTTTATGCATTTTATTTTACTTTGAAAAATTTCATGTAATTTTCTCTGAATGTTTTGACAGATATCTACATGGTAGACTAGGGTTGGACGGCCTCCTTGTTGTCCCTGTTAGCTTTAAAAGGTGTTTCTGCATAGAGTTTGAACATTCTCTCTGGATTTTCTCCAAATACTCTAACTTCATCTTCCAGAACAACAAGCTTGTTTAGTTAATTGGCTTTGCTAGATTGCCCTTTGGTGTGAATTAAGGAATGTGCACATGTCTGTTTTGTTGTGTTGTCTATCTCATTGCTGGCTTGTAATGGACCAATTTCCAATAGGGAACAATGCAGGTTGGCAATCCTGATAAGAAATAAGCTGGTATGGAAAGTGGGTGAATTTTCCTGCTGTACTGCTAAAATAAACATTTTATGTAAAAAATAATAATAATTGAAGTTCTTGAAGCTTACAAAACGCATGAATGTGAATATGTTGAATCCATATATTTCTCTGCAATTTTTAGTAGCATTTTTTATTAAACATTTTTTAATAGTTAATATATTTGATGCATTTAAATCCTCAGCGTACTTTGCCCTTGAACCATGTCCACATACCCTGCAGAGGGAAATAAATTTAAGTCATTGAAGTGAACTAGTTTTGCACAGAAGAATTTCTTCCTGCATCCAAATAAAAGGGCAGGTTTAAACAGGAAGCCTTAACGGTTGAAATCACATCATGATGACCTTCATGTGTTGCTCTGAAGTCTCAGTTCAACAGCAATGTGAACCATTTTCAGGAATCAGTGGAGAAATCCAGACAATCCTGCCATGGCTTCACTGAGATTGGTTCTCTAGAGGGATTTGAATCCCTTGGGGAAAAAACGAGGCACAGAAGATGCTACTGTCACCACCAAGATGCATTAACTTCTTGGTCACCATACAGATGCTGTCAATTAATTTGCCTTCACACCAATACTAAGTTTCATTTGTCTGACAACTATACAGAACACCTCAGCCTTATCTGAAATCTCCGCTGAATAAATTGTGTTTTCTTTCTGGGCAGGTAGTGCCCAGCATCTTCATTAGTCGTTTCCTGCACATTTCTAATGGCCTTTAGGTTCCCGTATTGCCTTGTCTACCTGTCGTCTCCTGCACATTAAGGAGGTGTCACCAGCAGAGTCTGTGTGCCCCTGGTAGCCTCTCAAGTCAGAGAAATTTCAACGTTCCTCTACACTGCCTCCCTCTGACACCAGTCAGCTCAGCCCGACGGTGCAGGATAGCTAGAGAAAATGAGCCTCTCTGTCCCAGACAAATACAGAGTAGCAGCTCATAATTATTAACTTACATGAGTCCATAAAATATATCTTTCTTCCCAAAATGACAGATCATTTTATCATGATTCAAAATGTGAACCAGCTTTAGAATAAAACAGAAACTATGCAAGATTCTAAAGGATTATATCCAACATAATGCAATTTATTCCTTGTGATTTTTTTGCTTATTGCAAACTGAGGTAAAGTTCCATGACTTACTTGGACCATTGGCCAGTTGAGTGGTCCAATTTGAGACAAGCCTCATCTATTAGACAAACGGTTTGCAATTTACTGATCTGCAAAATAATTCCAGATAGTCATCTTTCCGAAATAATGCTTAACCATTTCCAAGAACGAGAAGTTCACATTTGAAATATCATCTGCATAAAAAAGGTGAAAGCTACAACTACTGCTTTTCTTTTCAATGCAACTCAGCAAATTTATGATTTGCACTGTTTCTTTCCAGCAGTAAGACATTCTCCTTATCTACTTGTGTTGCTTTGAACATTGGTATTTAGTATTTTAATTGAAGCCTGTGCTGTTGGTTTTAGATATTTTTTTTTCTTTATTTTATTTTTCTGAGCACCGCTCAGTGTCGCATCGGAGTAAATTTTTAGTCATCCAATAATGGGAAGATTCCGAACTTTCTTTCTTGAAAATAATTTCTCAACTCAACAATTAGATAGTAATTTTTTTAAAACAGCTCCCATTTCAGGTTTTTGGGAGACCACAAAAGCATCGAAAACTAGAGCAACTGCAAGTGTCTTAATGGCATGTGTTTGTTGGTTACCCATTAGATTTTCTGAGGTGTAAAGGTGGTTTTAGCATTTTAGAGTATTACCACTACTAAATGGCCTGTACTTGTACAATATAAGGCAAATTTAGGGACACATCTTGTGAGCTATAAATCTTTGTAATGTGGGATTTAAAAAAATGTCACAGACTAGTGAATATATTTACAAGTGTTTGTGAAGTTTGGTATGAAAAAGCAACAGAAAAACAGGCTCCTTTTTTCCATTATTTTGGTGAAATGAAATTTTCTTAAATAGGATATTCTGCCTTTTTGTATAAGTCATATAACTCAAACTCATTATGGAACAACAATTCATAGTGACACTTCAAGTGTTCAAAATATACTATTGTGAGAGTTCTGCATATTTTTTGAAGATAAAAATTAATACAAAATCTCAGCGTTCTCATTGCAAGTGCAAAGGCTCAAAATGGATGGATTGATCTAACTTTTGACCAACAATTTATCACCTTAATGAAGTCAGCACTTGTAACACTTTTGAATAAAATTCTAGACATTTCCAGAGTGCATAGAAGCTCTTTAATCATAATGTAAACAATGACATGACCCTAATTGTTGTTTTAAAAATTCAATTAGATCTGGCAGATCCGGACAAATTGAAGCAGTTCTTAATAAATGGTTATGTGAAGACAAAGGTACTCCACTAAAAGAGCAGAATATCAAGTCTAAAGAGTTGTGTGTTCAAAAAATGTTTCCTTTAATTATGCTAGAGAACATACAAAGTGACACAGGCTCCCTGGTGTGAGAGTTTGTCTGCATGTCTTAAACAGAGACAGCATCAGAAGGAAGCTCTTTTCGTCAGAGTAAGTGTGAAGATGGAACCCCGTAGAGAAGACAAAACAGAGTCGACTATTTTTGCTCTATTTTTTTTTACATCGTATAACACAATTTATTATATATTTTTAGAATAACAGATGGTGAACTTATTTGGTTATTTTAAATACTCAGCAACATTACGTGGATATTGTTAATTATTAAGCTTTGATGTTGATAAAGTGACACATTTGTATTCCTTCTTTGGTCAGCAGCTTCTGAGCTTAACACAGCCAACAACAAGACAGCATGAAAAGGACTTTCACACACAAATGAACAAAGGCATTCTCACACATGCTCTCACCTCCCAATATTCACACTTCTGCTTGCACTTCGTTTTTATTACCCTCGTACTTAATTCTTCAATGTTTTTTTCGTCAAGCTGCTTGCGAAGAAAATTCTGACTTCCTGAAACCCTCCACTGACAGAATGTGGCGACCTCGACAAGACAGCGGGCATGAATAAGCTCATCAGAGAGTGCGGAAATGGGGATGCATGAAATAATTAGAAGGCAATAACAGCAGAAGGGCAGAAGCTGAGACGCACCAAGGCAGCAAAGATCTCCCGGTTCTCAGAGGAGCAGTCGAGATCTCAAAGGTTAGCACTAACAAGATATTGACCACAGGGAAGGTCAGGAGCTGCAGTGCTTTGTGCTGCATCAGGATAAAGCACTGCAGCTACTGTTCATGACCTCTATGATGAGTGACATGCAACATGGAGCCATTACTGCAATACATTTAGCAAAAAAAAAAGAAAAAAAATCCTGCACGTGGCTGTGGCTTATGCTGTAATCAGAAACTGACAAAATGTTCAAGAGAATATTCATAAATTTCACACCATGAAACCGAATAAATAGCCAGGTTAATAAAAAGCATGATTAAATGGTGGGATGAAAATCAGTGGTAGAAATACATTTGGTTGTTACACAAAGCTGGACCCACTTATCGCAAGAAAGAAAAAGTGTTTTTTGTTTTCTTACTCTTTTTAAAATCTTACACACATTTAGTTTTCAGTAACAAATAAGCAAGAAAACAACCTTCCATTACAACACTTAACTCCTAACTCCCATTAGGAGGACCAGTTACTTCCCACCAAGGAATTAACTGGTCAGGACCTTTTTCTGCCTCAGGGATTTGTAGATCCAAGAGCCATTATGTTTAACAAAATAATAAAAGTTGTAAATTCTGGAAACCTGTTGATTAATCCCACTTTAAAACACGTCAGCACATTGTGGCTTTTAGGGGTGTTTTAAAACCGTTGCAGAATAGTGTAATTCAAATTGTACATTGTATAAATCTGAAGAAACAACTTTAGAATGAAAACCATTAGTGTGACTAAACCTATTTAAATTCTCACTGTATTGAGAGGAGCGTAACATTATAGAGCTGTTGATCACCAAATGCTGAAACTTAAATTCTCAAACTAAAGTTTGAGCTCTACAGAAAGCCCTAGGTCAGGACTGAAGTCAGTGT